TTGTGTTACATTATTTTAAATGAGGAAAAATTCAAATTTAGTATTTTTATAAATTTAGCAAAAATTGAGATAATTTTGATTCAAAAGTGTTCAAATTTATTTTTGGGTTACATAAGTTTTGCTAATTTTAGATGGTAAATATCTTATCGGGAAAAAATAAGGGTGAAAAGGATTGATTTTTCTTTTCTTTTCTCCAACTCAAAGTGTGTTGTCTCCCTAAATATTTATTTTTCTAGAGTGTGAATCCGTCTTTTTTTCCTTTATGCGACAACTTGTCTGGTTCATGTAGTAGGCAGCAATCCATTTAGAAAGGTGTCCAACAAAAGGGGAGAATTGATGAGGGTCAATTTCTCTCGATTCGAAACACAATAAAAATTATGAGGTGACACAATGCCATGAAAAATGACCAGGTGTCAACGTCAACTTCACTCCTGGGAAAAATGGTGAAAATATGTAAGAGAAATTCTGCCATTACATAACTACTATTCCTCCCGAAATATTGGAGACGTCGAACCCCTGAAATTACAAATTTTCTCTTTTCCAACCCAAAAACCGAAACGCTGACTCCACATCTAAATTAAATTTCGTTCCCTTTAATAAAACAATTTTGGAGGAAGGAGATGATTAAACAAATTCTCGAGAAATGATGAGGAAGATTTTGCAACTCTCCCTCCATAAATCTCATCATTTCACGTTATTTTATCCCACCAACCACGAGACCAAGTAAGTAATTCCGATTTTGAAAGGCAGAATAAAATCAGAGTGAAAATATAAAAGATGAAAGAAGAAGCCTTTGTGAGTAATAGGAAAAGGTATGCATTGCTCCATTATATTACCGTCTCGATTAATTCTTTAGACTTTGGTCTGTCTGTACGAATTAAAATTCCGAGACGTTCCTCCACCACAAGAACGTACAAATATTAGTTTTTCAAGGTATATACGCACGTAGATAAGTTAAGTTATGCGCAATTTGAACTTGAAGTAAGCCACAAGTCTGATGATTTTTGAGCTATTTCTTACATAGGTATGAGGGAAGGAAATTTTGAAAAATTTCATTTGCAAAAGTATCTCTCGTGTAAAGATTCCTTTGAAGTGAAAAACATTAAAGGGGAGAAAAGATTAAACAAATTATGAGGAAATGGTAGCATTTTTCATCGTCCGTCTTATTATGCATGCATTAAACGGAAACTAAATACACACCCAACCTTCCCCAATCCAGAGAGAATAACAAGTAACAGTCAGTACAATATAGAAATATATTCTACTTGTTATTACATTACACACTTGTTCCCAGCTACGTACAGACATATGTACATGTAAACGTAAAGTCGGTTGGGTTAGGTTATGTTTGGTCATAAAAATTAGTGGAGAAACGTAACACTATCTTCTTCCGAGGATGGGTAAAACATGTGGCAATCTTGACTAGATATGTTGCCTACATACGCTACATACGTAGGAACAAAGTGACAAATGGTTCCATACTGCATCAGACCCAGAGTGGTCGTCCCTTAGCATATTTAAAATCTTTATTCATGGGAGGATAACAGGGTCCCTTTTATTGGAGTTCGATTTCACCATGTTTTAAAATCCAAGTGTTCAAAAATGGAAATTCTAAAATTTTAAAACCGTTCTGGAATGAATACATTAAGTTACGTAAAGTTACGTTACGTTACGTTATACGACTCTGCACATTACACAACTTCTTGGCTCCTTGATAAATAAAATAAATGAAGGAGAAAGGAAAGCAAACTGAGAGTCGAGATTGATTGAGAGTACATACGTAGTGGGATGAGGTATTATTGTGCATACATTACGTTACAAGTAAGGTGCACATGTTATTTTACCAGCGACAGAGTTATTTACACTCCACAGCCAACCAACCACCCTCCTTTCATAATTTAAGGAACGAAAGAGAGGAAAAAAGTTGGTTTATTTTTTCATCTCTTCTCAAAGATCAACCAGACTTTGGAAATCTACTCTGTAACCCTGCCCTGCTTTATGATTTACCATTTACGAGCACAATTTACATTTTACATTTACATCCGAGAAGAAGAAGAAGAAAGTGTAAAAGAATCGTGGCATGGGATCGAAGGGTGGTGGTGTTGGGCCTAGTTTTTAAGGGCTCAACACTTTTTTTCCTTCCTTCCTATGCATTTCTGAGGGTTGTAAATGGAAATAAATTTCAAATTTGAAATGAAGTGAATTTTAAAAAGAAAAAGTATTTACAGGGCAATTCACACCCTCTGCTCCAAGTCTGAGAGGTAATTTAAGGCAACTTCACATTACCATTAAGTAAAGCAAACCTGATGAGAAGTTAACTTGTACATAATTTCTCATCCATCCTTTTCCTGGCAACATTTGCATCTCTAGATTTATTTTATTCATAAGTTGTGTCGATATTAAGAATTATTATGCCCAAGCACACAATCTCGTCGTCGAAGGTAACTAACTACATTGTGCAAATGGGAGAGACAGAGAAGAACTCCTTGTATAATAATCCAGGCTGTAATTTTTCATTTATTTTATTAAGTAAGAAATCTTCTTCTTATGCTCATCATCATCCATCTATCCATCAGTTAGTTTGTATGGTTGGTTGCATGGTCATGGTTTTTTAAGAACTTGGATGCATACGTACACATCTACATTCTTGACATGATGGGTAACAATAAGATCACATTAAACAAACAGCTAGTCAGGATTTTGTTAATGTTATCCTTTCTCCCTTAAAAACTTGTCCGTGTTGGTACAGGTGCTTACAAGAGAGAGGAATGCTGTGCAGGAAGTTAGGACGAGAAATCTGTGTGTACCTTATCCATCTCTCCTCTTCTTATCCAGAAGGAGATGGTCTGATGTATTTTGTGGACGTAGTACCATTTAAATGATTAACTCAACAAAGCGTTATCCATCCATAAATGAGTAGTAGGGTAGTCCATGTTTGGATATTTTGATTTCAAACGCGGTTTTGTGCTGGTTCCTTTCTTGCCTAAATATTTCTTCAACCCTTTTGTCTATTTAGGATTCGATTTAATAGTCTTTTGTCCAGATTTTGTGTCAGTTATTTTTGTAGATTTTTCTCCAAAGGGTTTGTTGCCAACTCAGTAGATGGATAAACTCGCCTTCTTATTTTTTCTTATTTTTTGATCGGCATATCCATCAAGTCGGAACAAAGGGCAAGTCCAAAGGTGGACATAACATAACAAATAACATTAAATGAAATGATACGCAGAAGAAGAAGAAGAACCTCCTTTTTCCTTCTTAACAAAAGAGGGAAGAACAAAATCTTCCCTCCGAGTAAATCACAAAATCAAAGTATTCCGTCAAACTTGTGGCAGATTTATGATGATTTGTCCCCACAGAAAATGGACTTGGAGAGAGAAAGCCGCAGACTTTGAGGCAAGATTGAATTTAAAAATGGATTTTTCTTTCTGTAAATTTCCTCACAATGAGCAATAATAATGCAAAGTGATGCATGTCGTCGTCCCATGTGTGGTTTTGTCTCGTTGTTGGGAGGAAGGAAAGGTGATAAATTAACGCGAGAAGGTGAGGTGGGTGAGATGTTTGTTCGATTTTCCTCGATTTTTTGGAAAAAACAAGAATTGTACAATTTTTATGGGCGTGCAAAATAAAGGACTATATCATTGGTAATTGTGTTGAGTGAAACCGGCCTCCCCAGTATTACGGATATTGCTGGCTGGTTGGTTAGATAAGGTGGGCAGGTAGGGTACCAAGAAGTTGGTGCTAATGCAGTGTAAACGGATTAAAAGACAAGATAAAGTTGACATGAGACACACGAACTGTATAATTAATAGTTATGCGACTCCTTAATGACATCCGTATGCTGGTTGGTTAGTTAGTTAGCAGACACATAATTGTTGACGTAAAAGTATGCGACTTGTTTTTTTCCGTTAAAAGTTCGTAATTTCCACGAGAAAATGAAATGTAGGTATAAATTTTGAACAATGAGTTTCATTTCACAATATTTTGAGTAGTGAAAAATTTAAATATGTACCGATGAAAGTTGACTGGACTATAGAAATGAATTTTATTTGATTTCATACATTTTGGACGCGAGGGGGGAGACTGGACAATCCGGTTTAAGCAAGAATTCAAGTTTTCCCATGTTCTTATCTGTTTCATAAGAAGAAGACAAAGTAAAATTCAGTATGCACACACCACTGACTGGACTGAATAATCAGTGGATGAAAATTGCTCCGGGACATTTTGGCATGTACTTTTTACTACCAAGAAGCAGACCCAATCACCACCAGATATATTCGGGTACTTGTTTTTCGATGAGTCGCGTCCAGAATAAAAAATTTCCTAATTTCCCCCATCAACCATTAGGTATTAAAATCAGAGTGAATGATTCCTACAACAAATACATATTGACAACAAGCAGGATTTCACAGTTAGAATTATGCATGCAAATATTTTGTAAATAAATGGTTTATACCCATTTGTCACGCAAAGGTTGTCAATTTGTAGGAATTGATTGATTTATAATGGCAAATCACTAAATATTTATAGCCTTTGAAATGGTGCCATTCAAAATGATGCCGTGTGAATGAAGAAAGTTGAAGTATGCAGGTTTACGATTGATTTATCGGTGTCATTAATCTGCGAGACGTATTTCCAATCAAAATTACTTTTGGTAGCTTGTTTTGCTCACTCGCATAAATGTGAATGTGACCAGTCTACACATTAAACTTTGCATCGGGACGAGATGATGATGGTGATGGTGATAAGATCTCCGCATTATAAAATCTGGACCTGGCGAATTAACAAGATTTCGTTCTCTTTTTTTTATTAAGAATTGGATTAGATTTGAAAGATTTTAACGAGAGATAACCTAAAATTACGTTATAGTTGGTATGTAAATCTCTCTCCCTCTCGTGTAAGGAGAAACCTGCATGGTTGAATTTTATTAAGATTCCTCTTCTAGTCAAGGAGACTAATTCGCTACTGGTCTTCTTTTTCCTAGATAAGTAAATAAATGGAAGCAACAAAATCACTATCCTTCCACCGGACAATGATTACCCATCTGAACCTCGTTTGTTCCTCCTGCTGCTGTATTATTATTAAGGTTTTATGAAGTGAAACATTTAGCCGTTTGGGTGTGTGGATTAATATGTGATATACAAAATCCAATCTAATCCGGAGGCATGCATGCATGCGAAAGAAAGGGCGAGAGATTAGAAAAATTGCAGTCATTAAATCCAACTGGAGTTCGGAGCATAAACCAAATGAGACTAAAACCCGACTCAGAATGAAAAGTCCTGATGCGGGGCAATCAAATAATCAGTTTGTAAACACGTCGAGTCGAGACACGTTATTAAATTCTGTCAGTCAATCGATTTGGACAGGTCCAAACTTGTCGTTGACTGCGTGCAGCAAAGATGCGTAGCACACCCCATTCGCACTCCCACTCGTCAGCTGCTCGAACGCGAACATTTCCTCCTCCGTAATTTCCAAAAAAAAACATTTATACAAAAAAACAACGGCCTTTGTCAAGGCCATTTCTTCGAAAATGCCCCCCAAAGGACTCCCTTCAGTGAAAAATAGTCCGAAAGTAACTTCAGGACCATTTGAAGCGTTTGCTCGTAGGATTTCAGAAAAGAAAGCAGCTGCAGCGTAAGTGGAAATATTTGACAGGTCAAAAATGTGAAATAATTATCATCAGTTGGGTAACCTCCATTGTTTTTACAGGAAACGCAAGAAGAAGCCAGCCGAATCTGCGACGAATGATTCGACCCCTCCAAAGGACGAGATTCCTGAAGTTTACGACGTTTCGTAAGAAAAACATTCAATTAATTATTAAACTATTATCATTCGACCGGTCGAAATAGTGAAATAGGTGAATTGTTTGGGTTAATTTAAATGAAGATTTCTTTATATTTTACATCCAGTGACGATGAGTCTGAAGTTGAGGTTTTCGAGTATCCGCCAGCTCCGAAATTTCTCAAAAAGAATGATGATGGGTAGGTCACACTGTTTTTGTGAATCACAAAAATATGCCATTTTGGTTATTTACCTTTGTATGTGTTTTATTCACCAGTCGGGGAAACGGTCCATTTCCTGCCCCAACACCCACAAGTGACGTATGGTTGACGACCAGGACACCTCTTTCGACTCGGTAAGATTTGTTCTCAAATCCCTGAGACCGGTCTCAAAATAAAAACATCTGGGTGTAATTGACATGATGTAATTGTAGGACAAACACTCCGACTTCTAAACCAGTTGCGCTTGGAAAGCGGACATCACTTCCGGTCTCCCGATCCGACGCATCTCCACTCCCAACAGTGGCAAAACCCCCAATATTTAAGTATGTGCAAGTACGAGTTAGTATAAAGGTCAATAATAGTTAGTTTTAACTTTGATTCGTAGGGAAGAAAACAATGATGGTCCCAGTCCACGTGGAATCGGTTCCAACGAAGTTGAGCCGCATCCAAAGTGGGGCAAGGTGGGTAATGTTTAAATTATTTTTTTTATTTATTAGTATGCTGAGATATTTTGCTATTTTTCACAGCTGTCCAACAACAACAAAGATCAAGCAAATCGTGTAAATTTGCTGGACTGGATCGAGTCTGTGTTAAAAGATGTAACACGAAGGGACGACGTGGAGTTGGAACGTTTGAAAAAGGTGGCAAGATGGGGCCAAAATGATAAGGAGCATGTGGAGATCAACTTTACCCCCATTGGACTTTCACAAAGTAAGTGAATCCTTGTACCGGTACAACTTACTTAACTGTGAACGAAAACGTCATGAATCCTTATTTTTGGTGTAGGATGGAATGGGATCAGAGGTTATTACGTCAACACAGGAAATCAACAACAGAAGTTGGCAGCATATTATGCCAAAAGCATGAGATCCTCTTCAAATGCGAATTTAAGAAAAATAAAAGCTGGGTATAACGAACCAGACAACCCACAATTCGAGAAACGAAGACAACGAGACGCTGAAAACAGGCCAAATGCTCCGGAAGTGGAGATAATATACTTGGCCGGCGTTTGCCGCCCTGAAGTAAAGGAACCTACCCCCTGGGAAACTATCCAGAAATTGGAACCGGTTCCACAGGAGGATTCGGCAAATGGATATGGCCTTTATCCCGGGATTTCTGGAGGACAGAAAAGAGGGATCACTTCAAGTAGAGATCATTTGTCCGATCCAAGTTCGGAACTGTATCCAAGGATATTTGACCCAACAGACCCAAAGTGCCTGTACGAGATTTTTACCAGGATGTGCGATTCTCCTGCTACAAGATCAACTGCAGAATCATTCTACATGGTTAGTTGATGTGCTTATTCCCCATTTTATTTTAGACCGGTCTAACTTGTTGGACTTCGTTTATGTACTTGTTAGGAATATGGAGATCTCTTCAACAAGGAACATCATGTTGAAAGATACATTTACACGAAAGCCGCCGATCTTCCATGGCACCTGTACCAAAAGGTTCAAACCTATGTCACCAAAAAAGTACCCCTGTTCGTCATCGTCCCCACGGGTGACCGGTCACAACTCCCCAAAAACAAATATTGCACTTTGGAAGACTTGACCACCCTCCCAATTCGGATTGGAGAAGAAGAGATCGTATTGCAATATGACCCAAGCGACCCTGACTTAAAACCAGCGTGGAGACGTGTGAAAGATGCTGCTGCTCTTCTACGGGAGTTCCCAAACCCACCGGACAGCTTTTTCTATAAGAAGGATACATTGAAGGCGGAATGCGAGACGTTGATGAAGATGCGGAATTAATTTGCACCGGTGCAAATTAATATAAATGTTAATGATTTTTTAATTTATGAGTTGTTTATTGAACGTATTTGTTGTTTTGAGGCGTAGGTGACTCACAGTGTTATGTCTGTTTAGATGAATTTTATTAAATATACCCGAAGTAAAGTACCGTTTAGAACTACGGACCTGTCATACTTGTTTAATTTTACATAAGGTTGATAACAACGCAAATTGACTCTTTGCCTTCATTATAATCAGTCCATAGTTTCACAGCATAACTTGAACAATGCACATCATCACCATCATAACTCGAGTCTTGGAAACAGTCCGGACGTGTCTCAGTCTCCCCCCACTAATCTGCACTCTCACCAGCAGCCTACAGCCCACGGAGGTCACCCCCACCACTCCCACCGCGATTCCCCCTACAAGCTGCCTCCCCTCTCGTCGTCCAACTCATCAGGCTCCTCCGTCGGACCGCTCAATCACCACCACCCCCTCGTCGGTTCGGCGGCGGCCATGAACTCGGCCGGCTCCCATCATCTCCACCACGCCTCTGCCACTGCCAGCAACGGTTAATATCCGGATGTTCTGAATTTAAATCTGGACATTCCTTCTTGTTTGTTCATTCCCTACAATTGAGTTACACTGAAATTATGTAGAATGACCGCTTCTCCTCTTTCCACAAAACAATTATCTGGTTTATCATCCTCCATCCGTCCGTCCGTCGGCCTGTCCATCGGAGTGGTTATTTTTTAATATATAAATAAATACGTGCCCAGCAGAAATTTTGCGAGAGAAAACGCCAACATATTAGTAAATATTTACTTACAGGTCATCATATGCTATACATAATTATCATGTTTGTTACACAACAAATTAATTCCCTCCTGCGACAAAACCATTGTCTTTGACTTATTGACATATCTTATACAAACCACCGCAATTACTAAACTAACGGTTTGGTAAATAAATAAATTCAATTTTTTTCTCTCTACTTCGTGTGGGAATAGTCTCGTCTCCTGATAGAATTACTTTATTGCTTCCTCTCCGAAGAAACCTGTCGTAATAACATCACAAATTGAAAAATGTCTTTATTCTGCGCAGTCCTCGTGTAAGCAATTATTATTACTCGCGAGATACAGAAGTACAATCTCTCTGTATGTAAATGTATTGACATGCCGATGATGCCGCTGTTAGGAGACGATGACTTCTTGTAAGTAGTAGTGTGTGCCTCTCATTGTCAGTGTCAATGTCATGCCGGGCAGGCAGAAGCGTCAATGTCAAGTGGGAATTAGTCGAGAGAGAGACATACGTTTGCATGCGACGGAAGGGATAAAAGACGAAGAAGAGAGTGATGATTACTTATTTATTGTTGGGTAAGTATTCACAACAACCACCTCGTTGCCACCAGTTAGTAATGCGGTATATGCGCATATATTGTATAAATAATAAATTGTTATGTAATGTAATTCCTTCCCGTCATACGGGGAGAGAGGATGCCGCGAGTGCGAAAGGACGTGCTTGGAGTGAATAATGTTAAAAAATGTGGGTACATAACATAACTGAGATTTGTTTTAAATCGGTCGATTCAATTGTTGTTCTTGTCGGTCGGGCACACTTTGACGCTGGTTAAATGAATTTGTCGTATTTCAATGTGCATACGAAAATAGATACGATTTGCTAATTAATCATGACGGTGAAAAGTGGTGGTGAAAGGACGGATTTTGTTAAACATTCTTGAATTTGAGGATGACCATGTTTTAAATAGTGTTCTTCTCTAATTGCTCATTGTTCCATATTCATGATTAGATGACGGACAGAGGGTTGTTGAGCGAGTGAGTGAATCTTAGCCTTTTTTCCTCCAACACACGACTTCATCCCGTAAATAGAGCAAATTAGAGAGGTAAATGTGTGATGTGATCAAGCCGAGGTAATTTGACTGCCCAACTCATCATGGGATTGCATTGCATGCATGCATATTACATTTTTTTACTGTTCGTCCCGATTAAAATTACGATTTGAAAACTTATTTACCAAACCAAACCCTACAAACAATTTGAATTTGGAGACGAGCTAATAACAATAGGTCGATGGATGGATGGATGGACGGATGGAATAATAAATAACGTGAGAGGAGATAAAAAGCCCGTGATTACAGACAGGGTGGAGTGATTAGCAGAGCTAATGGTAAAAAGTAGGCATTTTAAGGGACTTGTTCTTCTTACTGGCTGTTCATTACTCTCACAGGTTGGGCCAGTAACATGAACAAAAGCAGTCGGGGTTCTTTGTTTCTCTTCGTCTTCGTGTAATAAGGGACTGGTTTCGACTGCTAGCTAGCTGGACATCGAAGAAGAAGAAGACGATGATTATTATTATGATGGGCTTCAACTTTTATATGAAGCAAGAAGAGTTTTTTTACCTGCTTCTTCTACTAGTAGATATTATTTTTTATCGGGGAAACTAGGATGAGATGGCAGCATAATAACGTAACATTTCTGTATAAGAGATAACAAGAATCTGGTTAGATTAATAATAACGAGGGTGCTTGGAAGGGAGGAAAAGGGCTCCTCAATAATTGCATGATATGATTATTATCATTTATCGATATTCTGGAAGAAATGTGAATGGAGGAGAGGAGATTGATTTTTTGAGGAATGGGGTAGAAAAGTGAGATTTTAAAAGGATAGGATTTTTGGGAAATAATTTAAATTTGTATAGATTTATACTTCGTTTATTTCGAGTCGTTTTAAAATTTCCGCATTATTTTTACTACTGTTTTGAAAATGTTTCAAATACATTTTTTATAAAATACGAGACACCCATTCCTCACCCATGACCCCCACGGAGGTACAAGTACCCCAATGATAATGGCAGACACTGGACTTTGTATTCAAGAAGAGCACAGTTTGACCTTAAAAATTACTGAAGGAGCAAATATTACCCAAGCATCGTTAATATTCCGAGAGTGATCCCTTGGGGTCCACTTTACATTAAAACCGAGTTCCATTAATAATCGATCAGATCACATTTCTCGTGATTTCAACGACACTTTTGATTTATTTTGAATGTTGATAAACTAATGATACGAACAGGTTCCTGTACTCTCCATCCAAAATTACACATTAATTTACCTCTCCATTTCCATATATAGCCTAAAAAAGCAAACCTGTCAAAAAATCTGTTCACTCATTTTATTTATATTTATTATTATTATTATGTGAACCAATTTTCCACTTTTTTTCTACCCCATGAAATATGTGACTTGCCTTAAAATTTGGAATTTCACGCTCCCCTCTCTCCATAAATTAACATTACCACCGTTCCTCTCCTCCTTTGTTAACTTAATTCATTCAATCGTTATCAATATCAATAACATGAGTGAGTGAAGTAATAATATATTTATGGCAAGAAATTGTTGTTAATTGATGCAAATTTATTTCCATTGTTCTCTCTCCAAGTATGTAATAACGCAAGCAAAGTAATTGACTCATTCCATCCATCCAGCACGGTTCCTCTCCAATTGGGTTCGATTAACTAAAACTGAAATCTCAATTAGCTTCGAATTAACAGAGTTTATTATTATCCTGCTACTTGTCATCAGGCATGTTGCTTTTATTGAGCTTAATTCCGTGTAACCTGAAACTTTTAATTAACAAATGTTAAAAAACGTTAACTTTAAAATGGACCAGCTCTTCATACAATTGATGAAGTATTATTTTACATCATTAATTCACATTTACGTATACGCTACACTGCTACCACTGCCTGTCTAGTTTTTAAGATTTAGATCTTGATTGGGATTTGAATAGAATTAACATTTCAAAAAATGAAGCGATAATTACAATAATTAAGCCGGGGAGGGTTTGCTTATCAAATGGGTATGTATTTATATAATAGAAAGCGGACGTGGTGGGTGGGTGGGTCGAGGAGTAAAATAGTAATAAATAACTCATTTATTTATTGAGCTGAGAAAATGAAGGAAGTAAAGATTTATTTAATTTGTTGGCCTGCGAATTTCAGCCTTTTTCTTCTTGACAAGTGAGTAAGTAAGTAAAGCGTGGTCCGTGGGTGAAACAAATCAGGTTCTGCTTATTAGCAGATAAAGAGTTAGTGCACCTAAAATTATATACAGAGTCGAATTAGTGGTGGGGTAGGTACATACATATGTGCATTTACTGTTGGTCTGTGTAATATGGTCCGGAAGTGGGTAATAATAATAAAAGGGATCGGATCTCGTATTTAGCCCTCTAACAAAATGCCTGTCTGCCCTGCCACCCGTCCAGCCCAATCGACTCCCCAAGTTTTTTTAAAAGTACGTCCGAATCGAGAGAATCGCTCAGTTTCATTGAGAGGAAATTCAATTAGGGTTGAATTATTTGAAATGCAACTCAGCAATGCAACCACTTGAGTCTTCTTTACTTATACTTGTAATGCATCAACTTTACGCCGACGTGACTTCATCTCATTATCAGATCGAGATCAATCAGTGGTCTGGTGGGTGGGTTGAACATGCGAATTCTGTAATTCAGCCGCAATTCTTTAGGGAATGGAGGAAGGGTTATCTTAACTGGCTTATCGGGTATTCAGAAAAGTAGAGTGGAAATGGAAAGGGTTGCTGCTGGCTGGCTCACTCACTTGTATAACAATAATAAGTGTGTAATGTGACCCTTGTCATCCGGCCGGGCGTAGGAATCGGATGGCTGCATATTCAAGATCTCATTTAATACATTTTCTCCTCCTTCCTTCCTCGTAGCACAATTATTCTCAATTTTCATTCCCATTCTCTCATCATAGTCGTCGTCGTCATCAATCCCATTTAATTTTTCAAGTTGTCCCTCGAGTAATAAGGTTGCTTTTGCTTGGTTGGATCGGAATCTATTGTCCGTGTCTGCATGTAATCTCCACCGCATCCGAATGGGATCATCGCCGTCTGTAATCTTTCTGCCTTAAAATTGAAAGGAACCCTTTTTAAAGAAAATAAAAATGTTAACCTGCTCAATTCCGTGAAACCATGAAAAAGTTTGGAAAGAAAAGTGGTTCAGTAGTTTATTTACGATTGAGAGACGCTTTATTTTATTTTATTTTATTTTATTATGGCTCAATTATCTAATTCGCTTTACTGTCGGATCCCACGCCGCTTATAGAAAAAGAACTAAAGAAGAATTGAAAAGAGGTTTTATTTTTA